GTACCCAAAACACTCTTTCAGAAACAGTGCCCAACCAGTCTGCTGAAAACCTAACCATAGACAGCTTTGAAAATTCAAATATGAAGCATTATTAAAGTTGATTACACCTTTGTTTTAATCTATTTCCTGTCAAAGTAGTTAAAAGCAAAATTTCAAATCCTAACTTATTGCTGAAGATGTCAGAGCAGTATTACAAAAAAGCTTCTTATGCTTCAACAGCTCCTAATACCTAAGTACCAATTCTTAAAACTTATTTTACTGTTTACAGCTCTGCAGTGCAATCTGTGTATAACTCAACTGTTTCATACTTACTTCATAATTATCATGATCTAGAAGCCAAAACCCTTGGATCAGCTTAACAAGACCCCAAGGGATAGCAAAGGCAGTTGGAAAGGAAACAAGTAAAGTTTCTGTTTTATTGGGAAAGGAATGCATGATGTCCAGCAGCAAGTAAATTGTCTGAGAATATCTCATTAAGGTGAATAAATTGCTAGGACCATAAACTTGTATCACGTAACATGTAGCAAAACATAGTAATAATAAAATCACAGGAAGCAGAAAATCCTAATGTATTGATCTTGCCATTTTCAGCGATTACAACCCATTATATCAACTCAGGTCCTAATCACAAAACTGCATTCTGAAAAAACTTCCAGAAAGAAACACTTGTGGATTTCTCTAAGGAAATCAAAAAGGCAGATAGTGGGTATACTGGGAACTGTTACATCTGCTTACAACAGTGCAGCTACAAAACAAAGTTGGATACCGAGCACACTTGAACATCCAATGCTTAATTATTAAAGAAAACAAATTCTACAGCTGTTTTGTTCTCCCCATTTCCTGACTTCACAAAACACAAATTATGGTGCCCTTACAATGCAACTTAGCACTGACTGATTACAACTGTGTTTAGAACTGCATGTGCATCCCTCACTCCAAGTGTCATCTTCCTCATCTGACATCTCATGTTAGGGTCCTGTCTGAGTAAGACAGCTTGGGACTACAACCATTATTAACCCCTTGTCTTCCAGGCTCCCTTCTCAGTTTAGTCAACAAACAAAAAAGGCAAATCTGCATGTTCCAACAGCTTAAAAATTAGGCTTCTGCCCAATGAGTGTTCTGAACTCTCTCTTTATTATTCTGTGTGCTTGCACTTTTAACACAAAACAAAAAAAGCAAACATTATTAGCTGGGCTGGGAAACGAATGATTTTGGCAAAAATCAGCGTCTGGAAAACCACAGTTACAAACCGTTTTATTCTGAAGCAGCACATTTCAGGCACTGTTCTAACACACAGTGTTTTGCTACAGAAAGGAGTGCTTTAAAAAATTAAAAACTATTATATTTTGAGAAAAACTAAGCAAGGTTTTTATCTTGAATATTTTAGGGAACCTGTTTTCTTGTATCAGAAAAGACTTAGCAAAAAACACACAGATGACAAATACGTAAGAACATTTATGTGCACACACTGAAGGGGTAATACCAAAGCCTTTAGGAAAGGATACAATTGCATGTTTGTCACTTTCTTCAATGCTTTCTAGCAAATAGAGATCCAGCAGTGCCTGAAAAGAAAGATGAAAAGGTTTTCAATGCTCCTGTCTTTCAGAACCATTGCCTTTAGGGGACCACTACTGCAGCTGCCGGAGTTTTCAGTGAACACAACACTCACATGTAAACTAACAGGTGGGTATTTCCCAGTACCACCTTCATCTCTCCGCCACAACTTCTCCACTTGCTCTCCCAACTGGGAAACCATTCCATCAATCATCAAGCAGTCAGAATCCCATTTTCCTCTGCAAAAACAGAGAACAAGGGCTTGGACAGAGTAAAACACTCATTCCAGCCTCTCAGTGTCACAGATTTCTGAGTCAGAGGAAAGACAGTCCTTAGGTCACAATGAACTCATGAATTAAGGAGTCCAAAGCACAAATCCAAGAGAAGAGTTGCAATGACCTTTTGGGTTCCAGGTTTGCTTTCTTCCTCTGTTACATGTAATGCCAAGGAAGTGCAGACAAAGGGTTTTCGCTGCAAAAATAACCACTCTCACAGAGGCTAACAGTGGCAGCTTTCTAGAGATTTCATCTAAGTCTTACCTTGATAAACGCTCGAGTTTCTCTCGATGACCTGTGTAGTAGCTCTGAATCAGAGGGTAATTGTAGAAAGGTCTAGACAAATGCATGTGATCATCTAGAGGTGATAAAGTAAAAGCAAGTTAAAGAAAACCACGTTTTTTTCAAATCAAACTTAGGACTAGAACAACAGAAGTCAAACAGCCTCAAGTGTTTTGGTACTACAAGTTCTGCTTACCTAAACCCTCGGGAAGGAGACTGGATCGACAGAACCAGATCACCACTTGTGCATACAAAGAAATGAGGCTGGTTACCACCTGCTTATTTGTCAAGTCTGCAAAACCTGAAAAAAAGGCAAAACATAATTTGAGTATTGCAATTCTTTTCATTTCACAAAACTCCCTTTGCTGGACTAAGAGAAAATATAAACAAACACATTAGAAATCTGTCTTTGTAGCTGTTGGTCTGGATCAATTATGAGTTTGAAAGAAAAAAGCATTTCCCTCCCAAAGGAAAACCCCCTCAATCACTGCAAAGAAACAAAATCATTAAAGATTAAAATTGAAAAAAAAAAGCCTAAACTATTAGATATACTCAGGAAGAAGATGTTTCTTTTCCATGTAGCAGAAAACTACATTTTTAATTCTGCAAAGTGAGAGTCTTCTTTTGCCCTCAATACTTTTTAAAAATCAAAATTTTTTATAAAATCAACAGCTAAAAAACTCCAGAAAATTGCTTTACACATTACACATTTTGGCTTTCTTTATATTTCCCAGCAATTTGCACATAACTATCAATTGCTAGTTAACAATTAGGAACATTTCTCAGCACTACCACGCTCAGTTGCTGTAATTGCCAACCAGGTGCTTACTCAGCTCATTGCTGACCCAGTGTAGCCTCCCCTACCCAGCCCCATCAACTCCACAGCAAGCTGCTCCCCTGAACTCAAAGCGTCTTAAATCTAAGTCCCAACTGCTCAGATTTAAACTTCTTCCTGCTCAATCTGACTCTCTCCCAACCATCCAAAACAGCAGCTCCTGTCTCCACAGTTACAACCTTCCAAATCTTAGCAACTAGAACCAAGACCTAGCAGGGCTTGCACCAACCTCTCTCAGTAAGCTCTCGGGCTTCTGTTAGAAAACAGTTCAGGACTGTGCTGAGGTTGCTCAGAAGCAGCTGGCAGTGCTGAAGGGACTGTAATGTCTGTGGGTCAATGAAGTTGCAGGAGCCGTCAAACAGCGGAACACCTTGTCAAGGAGAAATATTCAATCGTCAAGCAGCAGAGCAACTGCAGACTTCCAAAGCACACTCAAACAACCACAGGAGATTTGAAGAACCACTTAAAGAACCAGGAGAATACACTGCCTACATACAGATTACTGAAGAAGATCCTTTACAAAGAATCACTCCAGATTTCAAAAATGACTGGACCAGTACTCACAGATTTGGTCCAGTTCATCCTTTGTACAGATCACTTTGTTCCACGTCCACTCAAGAACAAACCGTAAATTTACAGCAGAACTTGGCTGCTCTTTAAAAAGAGAAAACAGAAAGACATGAAGCCACTATTCCCAACCAAAACAGACACAATATAAAAACATAAATGCAGGGAGCATTACCTTCAGAAGTCCAGTGTTTAATGCATCCCGTCAGAAGTTCTAAAGAACCTGTCTGCACAGCAGCTGACAACACTGCTTCTAACTGCTCCTCCTGAACAGAACAGACAAAAGCAAATCACAACCTCACACACTTTTCATACCCAGGCCTCACCACAAGTGTTTGTTTCTAACTGGATACTCATTCAGACATTAGTTGCAAATGCAACTAATTCCATATTCTTGATTCTTTCTTAATTCTAGCCACAGGCTCCACTGCTTGCTGGTTTGAGGAACACAAGAAAGTTTTTCTCTTGACATTTCAACTTCACACAGGCTACTTCTAATCCCTAGTTCTGTGCCTCTGGTTTCAGTCTTCATTTACTGAGTCACAATTAACTATTTTCAGTAACATCCTCTGCTAATACACATTATGCACTTTGGGCACGCCCTTTTGCCATCAGCAATATGTGAAGGGGCCAGAGCAAACACAACTGTGTTTGCATGGCAACAGTGAAGCTGAGGCCAAGTACCTCCCCAGTCCAGCAAGACATGAAGCAGCTTTGACAGCCAAAACATTCAGTTACAATTTGTTAAAGTACCATAAAGAAGTGAAATATTTCAGTTCTAATAGGCTGGAATTCCAGCCTATTCAAATACTGTATTCTAATGCCATGGCAATCCTTGAGAAGGATAATGCACAGGCATGCACACACATGGGAAACGATATAGTAGCTTATTCCAGCTGGTGTTCAGACATTTCTTTCAGGTGAAACGATCCGGCATAGAATTTCTTTTCTTCATCTCTATTTTTTTTACAAATAAATTTTAAATGCTTGCGTTCTAAGCAAAATCGTAACATTTAAGAGCGATTTCTACATCAGAAGATATATGGGATATTTCCATTATTTTCTGAAAATGCATTTTAGACAAGGAAACATGCCAAATACTATTTAGTGTACCAAACAAAATTTCAAGCTACTTAACCTAATTCTGAATCTTTTCTTTCTAGTATTCAAAAGCAATCCCCGCTTTATGCAGTGTCTGAACAACAGAGTCACAATCCAGCAAAGTATAATAAAATTTCTTGCTTTCCCAAGTTACTTCCCAACAAGAGCTGACATCAGAAAATCAAATCAGAATGTAAGAGCCTACTTCTGGCTTGCAAAATAAGCATTCAATGTGCTATGTCTGCTTGCCAAATTTGTTTAGCTACCACATTGTGCAGAAAAGTTATTTTTCCTGACACATTTCCAAAGTCTGGCAAAGAATCCCACAGACAGAAAGATGAAGGCAGGGGAAGACTGCTCTCCCCTTCCTAGTTCTTGCTGCTCCACTCCATGATAACCATCTAACCCTTCAGCTTTGACCCTGCCTGGACAAAGATGGGCTGTTCATCACAAAGGCTTCTTCTTTCATGAAACTCTTCAGATAAGAGCCAAAGTTTGCTGCACCGAAAATGGAAAACGCATGAGAGATGGGTGTGAAGCCACTGTGGTGACAGACAGAATGTAGCAGTGGTGAGAGATACAGGTGATGCACGTGTTGCAGCAAGAGGGCAGTCTAAGAGGAGGAAATCAAGCTACCACAGCTCAAGGTAAAGGCTAGAGAGGCAAAGATCAGTTTTGAGAGGGTACAGAAAAGCCTACTGATGAAAGGTATATGAGCAGAAGTGGTGATGAAATTGCCAGATGCAGCGGACAATTTTAACTGGTTAGCACTTCCTTGGAAGCAAATAATGTAAAGTGCAGCAAGCTGGTGTTTGTAGTAGTGCACATGAGGAAGGCACCTTCACTGCCACCTACTGCTCTGCAGCCAAGGCTCTGCAACACTGAGGGCATGAAGAGGATGAAACCTGTTCTCAGGAAAAGTTGCTTTCTGATGGACATGCCCAACACTGACTGAATGTTTCTGCATACGGACCTGGGGCATGGCATTGACAGGCGAGTCACTGAAGACAGACCTCTCAGGGCTGTTCCCAGTCAGAAGACTGGATCTAAGAATATTATTACTTTTGCTAACTATATGTCAAAACCTGCCTGTCAGAGCAGCTTGCAACCAAAAATCATGGTCTTATAGCCTCTATAGCCTTCAGACAAGATGGATCTATTTCCCTCTGGATTCCCCAACATACACTCACCTGAGTCAGACTGGATGGCTGGACATCAACCAGTCTTGGAG